GTAACGGATGTGCCATGGGGAGAGGAGGACTCACCGTGGGACATTTTCTAGCCGACCTTCGTCTTCGCTCTGATGACGAGGTTTCATCGGTCCCTAAACCACTGGCTCCAATGAGAGGATGCGGTCCAGGCGGTCTTTGGACGGTGTTTCTTCATCCATGTGCGACTCCACTGCTGCATATCCTTCACGGATATCGACACTCCTTTGGCGCGGTTGATGCAGATGTAGCGATACAGCGCCTCATCCATGTCGGGATGGTGAGAGTGGCGCCCATCACCATGCATGTGTTTACGACTGCTGGCGGCACCCTTGAACACGCCGCTCTCCTTCTGCCCGACCCAGCGCCGTATCGTGGCCACGGAAGCGCCAGCCTCCAGCGCGGTCTTCTTCAGCGACTCTAGCTCGCCGTACCTCAGAGCCCACTTGACCTTCTCCTTCACGGACCAGGGTCGCCTCGTCCGTTTGACGCCGAGGCCGCGAGGTGACAGGGGCCGAGCATTTGGATTGTCTTTGCGCGGGTCCTTAGGGTTCTGCTTCTCCGGGAAGGTAGGTATGGGGCCCGCTGCTTCAGCGTAGTCCCCATCCGAGCATGGGTCGGCTTCACCTTCTCCTCCATCCCCCTTGCTGCAACCCTCGTCGGCCTTCGATTTGCGGCGAACCTTCTTGCCGCCCCCCTTGTTGACCTTCGCCTTGCCACGGGTCCCCTTGCTGCTACCCTCACCAAGCTGTACCTTCCCTTTCTCGGCGGCTGTGAGTCTAGGCTTGGTCCCCTTGTCAACGTGGTGCTTGACGCGCCTCCGAAACAGGGGGACATCGTCCATGCTCCACGGTGTCAAACATACATTGTTAGGCTGTAGTGGGTCACTCCCTATGGGGTACAACCCTTGTTAGGGTTAGTACTTGTACCACATTTCCTGCTTAGTCAATCATTCCTACGTTCTATTTCTGACATGGTATTCAGAGCAGGTCCCTCCGTAGGACCGCTCCGTTAGGGCCCACCAACCGTACGTACTGCCCCTGTTTACCGCCCTGCCCGACGTTTCTGCCCTGCCCAGCAAGCTGTCGTGCTGTTGTCTTGCCCTGCCCAGCGCGCTTTCGCGCTGCCCTACCCTGCCCTGACGCGCGCTGCCCTGCTGCCGCGCGTGCTGCGCTGCTGCCCGCGCTGCCCTGCTCGCCGCGGGCGTGTCCTGCCCTGCCGCGCGCTGCCCTGCTGCCACGCGTGCTGCGCTGCCCTGCTCGCCGACGGCGCGGACTGCCCTACCCCGTTGCCCATCGCCCGTGTGCGCCCTGCTGCCCCGTACCCGCGCGTGTCCCGCTGCCCAGCGCCTGTGCGTGCCCCGCTGCTCAGAGCCCGCGCGTGCCCCGCTGCCCGGCGCCAGCGCGTGCCCCGCTGCCCAGCACCTGCACGTGCCCTGCTGCCCACGCTGCCCTGCTCGCCGCGCGCTGCCCTGCTCTCAACGGGCATGCCCTGCCCTGCCCCGCGCTGGCCGGCCGCGCGCTGCCCTGCTGCCACGCGTGCTGCGCTGCTACCCGCGCTGCCCTGCTCGCCACGCGCTGCCCTGCTCGCCGACGGCGCGCACTGCCCTGCCCTGCTTGCCGCGCGCTGCCCTGCTCGCCGCGGGTGTGCCCTGCCCTGCCCCGCGCGGTCGCGCTGCTCCGCGCGCCCTGCTGCCCGCGTGCCCCGCACGCACTGCTGCCCCACGCGCCTTGCTGCCCCGCGCGCCCCGCGCGCCCTGCTGCTATGCGCGCCCCCCGCGCCTTGCTGCCTGCGTGCCCCGCACGCCCTGCTTCCCCGCGCTGCCCCGCACTGTCGGGCGACGCTTTAGGGTTTGAATGCCCCTCCCGCACACCTGAGTTCGCTTCCCGCACGCCTGAGCTCGCTTACCGCACACCTGAGTTCGCTTCCCGCACGCCTGAGCTCACTTACCGCACACCTGAGTTCGCTTCCCGCACGCATGCGCTCGCTTACCGCACTGCTGCTATGGCGACTCCCACAGTGCTCACCCTTGACGCCGAGGGCCACCCGATACAGCTTGAGTCCTGGCTAGAGGGTCTGCACCAGTATCTCCAGAGTGTCACTCAGACCAACGCCTCCCTGTTCGAGCACACGTCGGGGTCCCTTCCGGCCCCCGAGGCTCCTGCTGAGCATGCTGCTGATGCTGGGGAGGAGGTGCGGACGCAGTTCCGCGCAGCTCACGTTGCCTACAAGCGGTGGATGGCGCGAGACGCCGCCGGCACACTTGCAGTCCGCCTTCACCTCTCGCTCGACCAGAGAGCCAACTTTCGCCAGGTGCCGTCGGCCCATGCTATGTATTCCGCTGTGGTTAGGCGCTACTCCCCCTAACCCTCCCCCCCCCCCCCCCCCCCCCCCCCCTCCTGCCACCCTAGGCTGTCTTGCGCTGCCTCTTACCTTCCCTGCGCTGTCAGACTTCGCCTCTGTAGCTGACGAGGGTGGTGGCAGCAGCGGTTAGAGTATTCGTGTGTCGCTGCTTGTGCGCCTACTAGCATAGGTGCGAATCTGTTAGAGTAGGTAGCTAGGAATGGTGAAACTATCGAGAGAGTTTGGTACAAGGGAAAACCCTAAGGGGTTGTACCCTACATTGGCTACCCCACTACAGCCTACATAAACTAGCATAACATATATAGTTTGACACACCCCCATAGGCAAAGTGGGGGAGAACAAGGGGTCACAAGACCAGTCAGGAAAGCAATGCAAGCTCAGGGTGGATCACAACGTCACCACACACTCCGAGCACAAGGAAAGGGGCCACAAGGCCACTTCACATGCAGAGGTATATATGCAACAACAGCAGTACAGTGATCACTACCTAGCAAGAGTAAACATGCAGGTATATATATATAGATCACAATACAACCAGAGTCTACAGCAAGTGAGGAAACGTAGGCACCAGGCCTAGAGCAGTGCAGAAGCGCTGATGATCACCAGCCGGAAGGGCCTTGGTGAACACATCAGCCGTGTTGGCCCGGGTGGGCACGTGAGCGACACGAAGCTGACCACGCTGCTGCAACTCTCGAGCAAGGAAGTAACGCAGAGCGATGTGCTTCGTTCTGTGCTACAGTCTGTGGTCCTGACACAAGGCAATGGCAGCCTTGTTGTCGACGTACAGAACTGGAGGAGAACGAGGCCTCTCTCCCAAGTCGGTCAGCAGGTAGGTGAGCCAGCGTAGCTCCTGTGCAGCCATGGCTGCGGCGTAGATCTCAGCCTCACAACTGGAGCTGAGAACAGAAGACGAGCGTGTAGACAGCCAAGAAACAGAGCCAGAGCCAAGGCTGAAGGTGTAACCCTGTGACGACCGCTGCGTAGCCAGGTCGTCAACCCAAGAAGCGTCTGAGTGCCCAGTGAGGACAACTGAGCTCCGCCCTCCAAGCACGAGCCCCATGCCCGATGTACTGCACAAGTAGCGCAATACCCTCTTCGCAGCATCCATGTGCACCTTTCGGTGCCTACCATGAGCCACGTAGCGTGCCAGAAGGCCAAGAGGGTACGCGAGGTCAGGACGAGTGCAGGTCATCAGGTACATGAGGCAGTCCACTAGCTCTGGATACGGGCCACTCGGCTCTACGGACTCGTCCGAAGGTGGAGCCGAGAGTGAGTGACCGGTAGCCAGAGGAGTGGACTGTGGCGAGGACCAAGTGAAGCCGAAGCGCTGAAGGACCTGCTGCACCATGTGTGACTGAGTCAGTGTGATGGTGCGCCGTGCTCTGTCCCGGGTGATCTGCAGGCCAAGGTAGCTGCGCAGCTCACCCAGGTCTGTGCACGTGTGTCTCTTCTGCAGCTCCGACTTCACAAGGGCGAGAGCCTCAGTGTCAGCAGTGGCAAAGACCAAGTCGTCGACGTACACGAGGATGTAGAACGGCGGCAACGAAGTGTCGGTGCGCAGAAACAGCGACGGGTCAGCAGTGGAAGGTGCAAACCCAAGAGCCGCAAGTGTCGTCCTCAGTGTGTCGTGCCACTCGCGAGGCGCCTGACGGAGACCGTACCCAGTGAAGCCAGGTGGGCGGCGCAGCCAGATCTCTTCGTGCAGACTGCCCTGTAAGAACGCTGTGCTGAAGTCCAGAGAGTGAAGCTTGTAGTCACGCTGAGCGGCAACGTGCAGCAGCACCCGGAGAGTGGTCATCTTCGGGGTGGGGGAGAAGGTCTGGAAGAAGTCATCTCCCTGTCGCTGACTGAAGCCTCGTGCAACGTAACGAGCTTTGAAGACAGGCGGAGAACCCGGCGGCCGCTTCACCCTGAAAATCCACATGCCATCGACTACGTTCGCCCCAGAAGGGGGAACAGCGTCGACGTAAGTGCCTGTGGACTTCCAGGATGCCATCTCTGCGTCCATGACTGTCTGCCACTGAGAGGAGTACTCACCCGCAAAAAAAAATCAGTGCATTTTATAAGATTTATAAGACACCCATTTGGTTCCGATTACAAGATACAGTGGCATTTTTAAAGCCGATATAGGATAAGACACATATGTCTACTATCCGGGCGATGACGGTACCATACCGTGGTTGATTCATCAGTCTCCATGATCTAGAAGTGATCATACTGAATGATCCACAGCATTGCTATTGACATCACTGCAGCTAGGTGACAACATAATTTATTTTCTCACTGGTAGTAAGAAACACTTATGTAACCATTTCCCCCTATCCAACTCAGCTAGCCGCAGAGGCTACTCAGACCATTGGAGGCCACTTCAGGTCTCCATTCCTGTGGCATACCATACCGTACCATAGTTGGCATGGCATGGCATGAAGCCCATTGTACATGCATAAGGAGTCGAGCTGGAAATGTGGTAACACAGTTACATAGACTTGGATGGGAGGATCAGCCTCCGAATGGCATGGGTGACGGAGCGGATGCTGGCGCCATGGGGATTGGGTCATCTGGGTCCTCTGGTAGGGTGAAGGACGGGTGGGTAAGAAGCAGGAAAAAATGCAGGGGATATTAATTACAGCGCTCAAATGCTGGTGCTGTGGGGATTGGGTCATCTGGGTGGGTCCTCTGATAGGCTGAGGGACGGCGGGAGAGAAACGCAGAGGGTGGAAGAGAGAGCCAGGGGGTAAATTCATGATCAAAGCATGCTATGAGAAATTAGGTTACAATACAAGGTAGATTGTACAACAAGAGAGAGAGTACAGAAACGTTACCAATATCGTTGTGCACATAGAAGCTGGCGGCAACGAGTAGATAACTCAACACCAGCATGATGCCCTTGAAATAATTGCTCTCTCCCTCCTGCATGCCGGGCAGACGAAAAGAACGGCATGGAGAGAGGGGACGGGCAGATGAAAGAGATTGCATCAACGGAGTTGGACAGACGAAACAACAGGGCGTGTAGGAAAGGGGCTTCTCAAGCTGTCTCAAAGCAATGGTTAACGCAACATTGGCGCAACAGGCACAACCAAAGCCCACCTGAAGCGACATTGACCCACTTGGAGCAACAGAAACCCACCTGAAACACACAAACCCACCTGGAGCCACAGAGACCCACCTGAAGCGACAGAGACCCACCTGAAGCAAACCGAGACCGACCTGAAGCAGGGCGGCGACGACAAGCACTGTCATGCAGAGCGTGGCGGTCTCAAAGAGATGGAAGTTGAGATCCATGGGCACTCCCATGGCCCACCCCACCACCACACAGAAGGGGATCTGCGGTCATGTGGGGGGAGGAAGGGGGGTACAAGGTTGGGGTTGTGTGTAGAAGAGAAGGTGGGACGGGAGTGGCGGTCTCAAAGAGATGCAAGTTAAGGTCCATTGGTACTCCCATGGCCCACCACCCCACCACCACACAGAAGGGGATCTGCTCGAAGGGGTTAAATAGGGGGGGAGAAGTGGCGGAGGGCGGTGACGGGTGGCCGAGTTGAGATCCATAGACACTCCCATGGCCAACCCCACCACGACACAGAAGGGGATCTGCAGGCAAAGATCGATGTGGGGGGCCGCGGGAGGAAGGGGGAGGAAAAGAGATAGGGCTATGTTAGAGAGAAGGTGGCATGGAGTGGCGGTCTCGAAGAGATGTTGAGATCCAGCCCAGCCCACCACCACACAGAAGGAGATCTGAAGGCACGGAAGGATGGGGGAGAATTGGCAGATTGGGATGGGGGTTGAGGGAATGAAGGTGGGTTGGAAGTGGTGATTCCATGGGCACACCCATAGCCCAGCCAGCCCACCACCACAGAAAAGGGAATCTCCTCAGAAGGGTGAAGCGGGAGGGGAGGGAGGAGGTGGGAAAAGAGAGGGGCGAAGGGCGGTTGAGTTGAGGTCCGTAGGCATGCCCATGGGCCACCACCCCACCCACCACACAGAAGGGGATCTAAGGTCGTGTGGTGGGGGGGAAGGTGGGGACACGGCTGTGTTGGAGAGGAGGTGGGATGGGAGTGGTGGTCTCAACGAGATGCAAGTAGAGATCCATAGGCATGCCCATGGCCCACTCCACCACCACACACAAGGGGATCTGCAGGCAAGGGAGGGACGAAGGGGCAGGGGCGGGACAGGGGTGCGTTGGAAGGAAGGTATGATGGGAGTGGCAGTCTCGAAGAGTGGTTGAGTTGAGATCCATGGGCACGCCATAGCCCAGCCCGTGCCACCACCACCCAGAAGGGGGTCTGGAGGCAAGGGCGGGGGAAGAGAAAGGTTAGGGAGGTGGGGAGGTGGGAAGATGGTGGATTGTGGGATGGGAGTGGCAGTCTCCATGCAGAAGCAGCATGGGTTGGGCGACTCGGTTGGGCGACTCACCGCGAACATGGCGATTTGAGTGGAGGAGCCGATGGCAACCCCGAGGGAGATATCCTGTAGAGCAGAGCAGGTTGTGATTGTAGTGAAGGCAGTAGAGGATGGGGAACGGATGAGGAAGGTGACATACAAGGAAACAGAGTGTAGAGACGAGAAGCATGGATGGGGATAAGCCTTGGAGTGTGAAGGAAAGATATCACACAGCATGGCTTGAGCACCTATAATATTAGAGAAAGACATTCATGTTTATTTCTTCAATACCACTTCTTTCACCTTATCCCTTGTTACGTTCTCCCTCCTCTCATCAACCCCCACTTCCCTCCCCCACCACCACCCTCCCTCCCGTCTGGCAATGCCACTTCTCTGCTCCACACCACTTGCACCCCTCCACACCCCCTGCTTACAACTTGCACCCCTCCACACCATATTATCCTCCCACTCGCACGCACCACTTTATCCTTGGCAGCGAACATGATGGCTGAAGCATGCTCGGCTGCATTCCCCACGATGGGCAGGATGATGACGCTGATGAACGCCACTGGGATGTCCCACGCGTCCGCTGCTCCCTGGTGATGGGGATAACAGTGCGGTGGAGAGGGGTGACAATGAGGCAGCGCAGGGGAGAGGGCAGATGCTGATGAACGCCACCGGGATGTCCCACGCGTCCGCTGCTCCCTGGTGGGGAGGGAGGATACAGAGCAAAGGAGTGCAGAACAGTGCAGGGGAGTGCGGAACAGTGCAGGGGAGTGCGGAACAGTGCAGGGGAGTGCGGAACAGTGCAGGGGAGTGCGGAACAGTGCAGGGGAGTGCGGAACAGTGGGGGGTCGGGGAGAGGGGAAAGCGGAGAGATGCGGGTCAACAGCACAGCAGCGTTCCCCACGATAGCCAGGATGATGACGCTGATGAACGCGACCGGGATGTCCCACACGTCCGCTGCTCCCTGGTGGGGAGGGAGAGGGGAAAGGCGGGCGAGCAGCACAGCAGCATTGGAGGAGAGCAGAGGAGGGCAGAGGAGCACAGAGGAACACAGAAGTAACTACAGCAATGACAGGGCAGGTATAGGGTTATCTCAATACAACATACCTCAATAGCGTCTACAAGGTATTCGGAGAGGATGGAGATGAAGATGGTGATGACGCCCATCCACACGATTGCTCCCCAGAAGCCCAGCACCTGCTCTTCATCGTCATCATCATCCCCATCCCCCCCGTCCTGCAAAGAGGGAGAGGAAGGGCGAACAAGAGGAACGAGAGGAAGGAGAGGACAGGGAAGGTCGATCATTCCCCAGAAGCCCATCACCTACCTATTCCTCATCGTCATCATCGTCATCATCATCATCATCCTCCCCATCCCCTCTGTCCTGAGGAAAGAGAGGAAGGAGGAAGGGAAGAAAGGGTAGGAGGAAGGAGGAAGGAGGAAGGAGAGGGAGGGAGGAACTGAATCGCTCCCAGAAGCCCAGCACCTGCTCCTCGCCCTCTTCATCATCAGGCATGCATCAGGCACACACACAGCACAACACTGTCACAATCGCGTTGCGGCAAACAGCGATGCATGTCACACATGCCTCACATCGTCGTATAAGTGCGAGTGCGTGTTGAGTTGGAAGTAGAGGTGGCAGGCGTAGGCCATGAGCATCATGAATGCACTGCACCTACATTACACCAACTCACACACTCAAGGTACACGCGTGTAGCACACTGAACAACACACGACTCACATCGTCATATAGCTGCGAGTGCGTCTTGAGTTGGAAGCAGAGGTGGCAGGCGTACATAGGCCACGAGCACCGAGACTGCACCTACCCAACTCTCAGGGTTCACGCACGTAGCTCACTGCACTTACATCGTCATACAGATGGGAGTGCGTTTTCAACTGGAAGAAGAGGTAGCAGGCGTAGGCGACGAGCATCATGACGCTGCTGAAGCGCGAGAGGGCGAGCGTGCTGTCCCTCTCGTGCAGCTCTGTGTGTGTTGACTGCAGCACTGCGGGTGCCGTGAGGCCCATCACTGCCATTAGGAGGAGACCTGAGTTGACAAGAGCAGCAGTCTGTTAAGGGGTGGTGGGAGAAGACGGGGGTGAGGTGGAGGAGAGAGGGGAGGGCGGAGGAGAGAGGGGAGGGCGGAGGAGAGAGGGAACGGCGGAGGAGAGAGAGAAGGACCATTCGAGAAGGAGGTGTGAAAAGGATAGCACATGTCTGGACAGTGGATGGTGGAAGAGAGAGAGTGGGCTTGCTGTCCCTCTCGTGCAGCTCCGTGTGTGTCGACTGCAGCACTGCCGTGAGGCCCATCACTGCCATTAGGAGGAGACCTGACCTGAATTCACCAGCGCGGCAGTCTGAGGGGGAGGGGAAAAAACGTGAAAGAAGAAGAGGGAGGGAAAGAAGCAAAAGCCAGATCAGTGCCTCAGAACGCGTCACAATTGAAAAACCGTGGAAGGATGGGGGGTTTCACCGATCCTGCCAAATCAATCGCCACATCGGTGTGTCACGACTGCATGTTTGCAATCGCGGGCAGACTCTGAGTCTCAAGTGACACGATCAATAATTTATGGGGCAAAATTGCCCGATGTGGACAAAATTGCACGATCGATCGTTGTCACCAAGCTACTTCACACTCGCAAATGTTAACGAAAAAAGGAAACCACCAATTATCGACTCTCCGAAAGTACTGTACCCGTGGGCCGTGGAACACCGATCCTGCGCAGGATGGATATTACAATTGTGACCTGTCCTCATCCCACACCCAATCTCTCTCCTCACTTACACCCCCTTTCCCATTTCCCTCTTTCCATCCCTCACTCACACACAGAAAACTCGTTCCCTCTCTTTCCTCCCTTTCCCCCTCTCCCCCTCCCCCTTCCTTCCCCCTTCTCTCCACCCACCTTGTTGAATGTTTGCTCGCGGTAGCGCAGGCCACCCACATACAAGGCACAGCCGAGCACGAGCAGCATGTTGGAGAGAATTGAGCCCAGCAGGCTGAGCCTGCCAGGCTCTTTTGCACCACGCGAATCAGCCCCCTCCCCCTCTGCCCCCCCCCCTGCCCTGCTTCCCTGCACCCCTTACAATTTCTCCCCCTTCTTTTCTCCCACTTTCTCCCCAACCTCTCCGTCTGGCACACACAGAAACATACGCACACACGCACACACACTGCCGCATCTGCCCTCACCTTGTTAAAAGTCTGCTCGCGATACCGCAAACCACCGACGTAGAAGGCGCAGCCGAGCACGAGCAGCATGTTGGAGAGAATTGAGCCCAGCAGGCTCATCTGCACCCCCTGCTTGCACCACCACCGGCTACCTGCACACTCAACCAGACCTACCTTGTTGAATGTTTGTTCCCTGTAGCGCAAACCACCGACGTAGAAGGCGCAGCCGAGCACGAGCAGCATGTTGGAGAGAATGGAGCCCAGCAGGCTCATCTGCACCACGCGGATCAGCCCATTCTGCAGCGCGAAGATGGATATGATGAGCTCTGTGGCGTTGCCAAAGGTGGCGTTGAGCAGACCTCCCACTGGGGCGGGGAGTCAGGGGGTGGGAGAGGGTGGGGCGAGGATGGAGGAAATATGATGAGAAAAGGCCCGTGATAGTGGTTGAGGAAGGAAACAATACAGAACACTATGGGACGAGAGGAGGGGGTGCAACAATACAGCACACTGCATGTGACTACACCAGAAGGCGCGGGTGACAAGAAGCAGAGAACAGCATATCTAGACACTTACGAGTTGGGCCAGTGTAAAGTGCCAGCTGTCTGGACGGGATTGGCCAGGGAGGGATGGGTGGAATTGTTGGGGACGCAAAAAAAAAAGGAGGCTGAATCGATTGCTACACAGTGGGTCGATGGTCCAGCAGCGAACAAAAGAATATTAGAGTGCTCATATGAAAAGAGATTAGTTCATTCATGCACCTAACAAAATCGTGTGCTGCAATGGAAAGGAGTGTGGTGGAGAGTGGTTGAACTTCGCTGTGGGAAAATGGACAACACTCACTCACACTAGCAACCACATCACAGAACAGCACACAGCCTTGCACTCACTCTGTGACAAACCCTAGTCTCTCCGCCAATGGAGCGATTCCCAGCAGAGAGAAGGTGAAGATCCAACCCTGGGAAGGGACAGGGTGGGGCAGGGCGGGAAGCAACAGCAACAGCAAGGAGAGTTGGGAAAAGATGTATATTGAGTCAACTAGCAAGCCATCTTGATTTGCAGACCACATGACCCCACACCTTGTAACCTTGTAACCTCGTAACCTCGAAACCTATAACGTGACGACCCAGTAGTAGTACCTACGACCTCTGCTGAGGCCAGAGACTGCCGCTCACCAGCCACTTGAGGGCAACGGAGAGCAGGGAGAGCATGGAGAGGGGGATGAAGATGAGCAGCACGTGGATGGATTGAGAGACCCCTGAGTCCTCGCCTTGTAACATTATAAGCAAGTAACACCTAACATCCAGCAGATCAAGTCCCGTCACACTCACCTGTAGGCTGTAGCCATTCAAGGCTGACGGCAAGCATGGAGAGCGGGCGGATGAAGACCAGCAGCACGTTGAGCCGGAAACTACTGACTTATCACCTACTATACTAGCCTTATAACCTTGACACCTAATGTCGTAGCAAATAGCACTCCTCAGCCTCAGGTAATGCCCACCAAATTTACCTGCGGCGACTCGAGGGCGACGGCGGCGAGCATGCATGGAGAGGGGGATGAATGAACACGAGCAGCACGTTGAGAGGGGAACTCTTGAGTCTTGACCCGTCACCTCGTAAACGTGTTACCTAGTAAAGTAGCAACCAACACCCTTCAGGTAAGGCCCATCACACTCACCTGCGGCCACTTGAGGGCGACAGCGAGCGTGGAGAGCGGGATGAAGACGAGCAGCACGTTGAGCGAGCATCCGAAGAAGAGAGCCACGAGGCTCTTCCGCCAATACTCCTCCCACGTCGCTGCCACGGCCCCCTTAGGAAGGCGTGACTTGCCCACCCCTTCATCCGAGTCCGAGTCACCACGCGGCTTGCTGGGAGGAAAAAAATGAGATGAAGGGAGGAGAGGAGCAGCGCAGTGAGGCTTTTCTGCCAGTACTCCTCCCACGTCGCTGCCACGGCTCCCTTGGGAAGGCGTGACTTGCCCACCCCTTCATCTGAATCCGAGTCGAGAGATTCCCGCGGCTTGCTGAGGGAAGACACGGGTGAGAAATAGTGCGGAGGGGTTGCTGTGGGTTGTCCCTCTAGGTTGACTGGACGATTCACCCCAAGCCAATCCAGGAGAGGGACAGAGCCACGAGGCTCTTCCGCCAGTACTACTCCCCCCACGTCGCCGCCACCGCTCCCTTAGGAAGGCGCGACTTGCCCACCCCCTCATCTGAGTCCGAGTCGAGGGGGTCACGCGTCTTGCTGGGGGAACAAAGGGGTGAAAAGGAGTTCAAAGGGGTTGTGAGTTCTCCCTCTAGGTTTCCTGGAGGATCCACCCCAGGCCAGGCCAGCCCAGGATGGAGGAGAGGAGGAGAACACGTTGAGAAAGCACCCAAGTAATAGAGCCACGAGGCTCTTCTGCCAGTACTCCTCCCACGTCGCTGCCACGTTGCTGGAAGAGGAGGAGAGAAAGGGAGGTGGCGAGAAGGAAGGTCAGAGAATGGGGCGGAGTCGCGGAGGGGGGAAAGGGGGAGGGGGAAGAAAGGGGGGGGGAGATACGACGGCAGGCATTGGCTGTCCATCGGCCCTAGGCAGACGCAGCTTGCCCACCCGCTCATCCAAATCCGTGACAGTAAACCGCGTTGACTTTTGAGTCCACTCAAAAGTCAACTTGGTTTAACGTCAGAAGCGCTTCACCCCATAATCAGCGCAGCAAGACTCGTACACCAGTGCCCCTCCGCCCCTCACCCCGTTTTCTCCTCACCCCCTTCCTTCTCTCCTCACACCATTCCCTCTCACTTCTTCCACCCTCCCCATAAGACATTGCAACCACGGACAATTGGTTCTTTGATTCACAAAGTGGCCTAAATGAAAATCTAAGAACGGAACAATTGGTTGTTCTTCCCCTCCCCCCCTCCCCAATCTCCCCTCCCCCCTCCCCCCTCTCCCCTCCCCCTTCCCCCTTCCCTCCTCCCCACTCCCCCCTTACCCGTGTCAGCCAGCCACCCACGTGATACCAAGCAGCGAAAGCTCATTTCTGAGACTGAAACGCTGTGGTGAAGTTCACTGTTCACCTGCCAAACATCTGCCAGCGAGAGTTCAGGTTCTGAGACTTCTAAAACCCGCCACCCACTTGTCACTGAGCAGCGGCGACTCAAAACCTTCGCCACCCCTTTAAACCGATCTTCACCACCCACCTGTCGCTGAGCAGAGAGTGCTCCTCATGATCGTCATCCGATTCGTGGTGCGATATGTCCACCAACTGCCACGTGGCGCCCGCGATTCGAGAAGGCAAGTATCAACAAACGGAGCGGGGGGGACGAAGGAGGGAACAATGATGACCAAAGTCGCGCACTAGGGTTTGGTATCACTTTTAGTCAGGTGACAAATGTACTATAAAACGCATCTGGAGAGGGTGCGACGAGTGCGCCCAACAAGAGCGGATGTCGGGAGATATTGTGGATAATTTCGCGATGGTCGAGGCTGTTGGAGCTACATTCGCGACGCTCGCGAAATATAGATCCCGTTAATTCTGTGTGACTACCATCGGCGATAGATTCGCGAATTCGTGCCATCAGCGATCGAAGATCTGCGCGGGCGTTCAGTCGACATGCGATCTTGTCGTTTCGACGCACTTGCTCTTCCGACGTAAACGCATTATTGGGACAATACATTGTGCTGAACACTTCTCAGACGCCTTAGAAGTGAATGGGACATAGCCAAACACTTCTCAGGCGCCTTTTAAATTGCCGATTCAAACACTCAGCTAGCCAGGATATTGACGCAAACGATGAAGAAATTACGAATCGACACACATGAATACGCGTGGTAAGAAAAACAACGCTAAATGTCGACACGTTTTCTACCAGACACACAGACGTACCTCGAGGCTCTTTCTGCTGTTCGACGCCATGAGGGGGCCGAGATTTCTCCACGATAGTTAATGAACGCTTACGAATCCAGCTCCTGAAGTCTGGTGTGGCTCCCTTCCTCCACGAGAACACTAGAAAAATGTACGCTAATTGTAGCGTTATTCGGATCAATCCCGGAGCCGCCTGATGCTTTCGCGGCGGTAATTTTCCGACGCAAGGGTCTAGTTGCGCGCGAAAGCACCTGGTACCTCAATTCTGTGGTCGAGCGATTAGATCGGGTCAGCGAGACGATTGAGTTATCACACACGGCTCTTCTGTGCTCGCTAGCCCTGTCATCGCTTAGACCGATACGATACTGCATTCATTTCCAATACTGGAGCTAGGAATTGTAAAACTCGAGGAGAGGGGCGTCGGAGAATGCTGGCCAAGAAATAATAACTGGCTGATGGATGGTTACCAAGATGAGTGGATAGGCAGGGAGGGAGATTGCCGCTTCCGTGATAAGCGGTGAGCGCGGAAGGCGTGTTCAACAAGCCCAGATTACCTTTGAGACCGCGTCGGGCATTGTCCGCTTGAGAGGGCAAATAAAGGTAAATCAGTGAGCGGGCTTCAAAGGCCTAGGTATTTTTTACTACAAACACATCCTCTTGACGGTTATTTCTCCACAAACAGCACCTGACCTAACCCGAACACCGCTGCGGGAAGCCCCGCCCCGAGTTCCCAAGACTTCGGAAGTTAGGTGGGAATTTCTGCGGGAGAGGGAACCCCGCCAAACTTGTTGCTGTTCGCTTATTGGTCCTCAGACCCAGCCGAAATCCCCAAGGATCAGAGAGGTTCTGCGAGGAACCTGAAGCACGTGGCCAGGCCAACACTAGTTACACATCATGTGTACGGATGACTCCTAGCATGTGTCAAATTTCAGTGTAATTCTTCAGCTGTTCCCAAGACTATGGACCCTTACGGGCTTGGTATAAGGCGTACATTTATTGCATTTCCTCCCATGCATTAGCTGTGTTATGAGTTGTAACGGCGAGTGCGCGGAATAACGAATAACGTGCGGAGAGTCACTCTACAAAGTAGTGAGCTAGACTACGAGGGGGGGGTTGGCACGAACTACTAGGAGTGATCGTAGCTTTGCTTAGTTCCTTAGCGCTTGCACGATCACGGGAGAAATCGGCAAGAGTATCCACTAGGCAAAAATTACATTACACAATAATAGAACAAGCAATGACAAAATGACTACATCAGGCACCTAGCAACTCTGCAGCTAGCCTGGTCGACCGCCAGCACAGCTAGGTCGACCGCCTGCCAGCGTTGCGTAGAGGAGCCGCGCAAGCACTGCAGAAGGGCGACGTGTCAACACAGCAGGTCGACGGCGTGCCAACGCTGCAGCAGAGCGGCTGTCCAGCGTTGCACCCGTAGAGCACAGCAGTGCGCACGCACGCAGGTGCGCGCAGACGATTGGCCCGACTTGCATTGTTGTGAATCCGTCGGCTGTTGTCTGCGTCTGACGAGCCACATCGACTTCGGGATACCAGCCCGAAGTCGCCTTCGTCACCGCGACCTCGACGACGTTCGCGTGCCTCCGCATAACTCGCCGAGCAGGTTACCTGGCCGACCTGGTCGACCACAAAGTGCTCTAGTCGACGCCACAAGTGCTCTGGTCGACCACCAAGTGCTCTGGTCGACCACCAAGTGCTCTGGTCGACCACCAAGTGCTCTGGTCGACCACAGCTCCCGTCAAGAAACACCCTGGTCGACGGACCCCTCTGTCGACCAGCACTGTCAGCTGCTGTCGCCGAGCTCCCCTCGTCGACTGCCACTCACATGTCCTACGCAGGTCGACGAACTGCTCCGTCGACCTCCCCGTCGAACTGCTCCTCCTGGTTGACGGCCCGCCCGTCGACCAGCCCAGTCAGCTGCAGCTGTCGAGCTCCCTGGTCGACGGCTCCAGCCCCGTGACAGACCTGTGCAAATCGACGACCACTTTGTTGTCCTGCCTTGCTGAAGAAGGCCGTCGAGCTCCCTGGTCGACGGCAACACCACAGTGATTCCCTGCAGCTGGACGAAGCCCGTCAAGCAGCTCCCTCACTGTGAACGGTCGGCTGCTTCTCCTGTACATCCGACCAAGTCGTCGGCGTTGCCCAAGCGAGGGCGAGGCCAACACTCCATTCCCGTTAACATAACGAAGCTGTGACTTAATGAACTGTCAATACAATGAAGGCACGCGACTATATAGTGACTACCCTAGCTAGGAGGGAACCTCGGGAAACGAGGTTGGGTGTAGGTTTGGCAACGGAAAGCCGAAGGCGACGCGGAGGAGCCTCGGCATCGTGGATGTCCGCCGAACGTGCGAAGTCCGAAAAGTCGGGGTTGTACGCGTAGCAGTCAACCCCGGTGAGGATAAGGAAAAATCCTTACACTACCCCCCCCCCCCCCCCTTAAGAAAGGTGGTCAATACCCGCAACTCGCTTGCGGGCGAAATAATCACCAAGAAGCGGGGAAGCTTCAAGCGATGCGGATGGCACCCACGTGTCGTCCTCACTGGTGCGGTCAGTCCATCGAACTAGAAAGTCCACGTGGCGGCCAGTGGCGTTCAGCCGAATCCGATGCCCGAGAATCTTCGAAGGGTCGGTGGTTGGTTCCGGGACAGGTCGAGCTGTCGGGGCGGCGTTCTGGCGCGCAATGTCTGTCGTGGCAGGCACGAAGTTGCGAAGGAGGCTGACATGGAAGGCGTCATGTATACGCCAGTCGTCGGGTAGCAGCAGCTTCGCGGTGACGGGTGTCACCATCTGGATGATGCGGAAAGGCCCACAAAATCGTGGCCGTAGCTTGTTCGAGCCGGGCAGGCGTAGGTTTTTCGTGTCGAGTAGTACTAGTTGCCCATGCGTCATGATGATTTCCCGTCGTAGAAGATCCGAGAATTTTCAGGCAGTAATATTCGCCTTGCGAATAGCGTCGGCTGCTTTCTCGCGGATCTCTTGAAGTTCTGTCACAAATGTTTGGGACCGTGGGACCGGGTTGTCAAGTGTAGTCGTGGTTGGTACCACCGGGTCCATCCCGTAATTCAGGAAGAACGGGGAGTGATTAGTCGTGCTAGACGGTGCGTTGTTGAACGCGAACTCCAGCATGGCGAGTGACATTTCCCAACGAGCGGGGTCGGGACAGTTTGTCCTGATCAGCTGCTCCATCGTCTGATTGGTCCGCTCGGTCTGTCCGTCGTTTTTTGGATGGTATGCTGACGAAAACGGTAGCTTCGTGCCGTACTGCGCCCACGTTTCCTTCCAAAACCGCGAAGTGAACTTCAGGTCCCTGTCGCTGACGATCGCCGAAGGGATTCCGTGCAGTCGCACGACGGTTGAGATGAAGAGGCGCGCAGTTTCTTCGGCTGTGATTGTTGTACGACACGGTGCGAAGTGCGCCATTTTCGTGAGGCGATCGACGACGACGAGTGCAACGTCGTTGCCGGACGGCCCAGTTGGCAACCCCGTGACGAAATCCATCGTCACCTGTTGCCATGGTCGCTCGGGTGGCTCCAGGGGTTGCAGCAATCCATCTGGCCGCTGTCGCGTCGATTTCATGGCTTGGCACACCTTGCATGAGGACACATATCGCTGCACGTCGTTAGAGGAATCAGGGCAGTAATATTGACGGTGCAACAGTTTCTGGGGTTTATCAACCCCGAAATGTCCGGAGGGGTTGGAATCGTG